AATGAATGAATGTTGTGTTTTATTTTTAATTATGTATTGTTATATGTTTTACTGTTTGTGTCCCCCCCCCCCCCTGGCTTGTAAGCCGCCCTGGGTCCCCCCAGGGAAAAGGGCGGCCTATAAATAAACTTTCCTATTCCTATTCCTATTCCTATATATTTCGCATTCAGCAAGGCATTTGACAAAGTAGACCACAAGCCGGTAAGCTAGGAAAATGTGGGATAGACAGCATCACCACCAGATGGATTTGTAACTGGCTGACAAAACATACTCAATGAGTAGTCCTTAACAGTAGTAGGCCTACATGGAGGGAAGTAGGCAGTGGGGCACCCCAAGGCTCCGTCTTAGGCCTAATACGCTTCAATATCTTCATAAATGGTTTAGATAAGGGAAGAGAAGGGTCACTCATCAAATTTGCAGGTGATACTAAGATGGCAGGATTATCCAACACCCCAGAAGACAAGTCCGGGGTCCAAAAAGATCTTGACAAACTTGAGCAATGTTCCCTATCCAATGAAATGAAATTTAATGTGGGGAAAAGCAAGATTTTACATTTAGGCAGGGGAAAAAAAACCGAGGTACAATTACTGGTTAGGCAAAGCCCGTCTCAAACGCAAGAACTGTGAGGGGGACCTTGGAGTCCTGACGGACGATCCCTTCAACCTGAGCTAGAAGTTTGGGACACCAGTTAAAAAAAAAAAGAAAGAAAGCTAATTCAATCCTTGGTTGTATGAACAGACCCAGAATCAAAATCGTGTGAAATCTTAGTGCCACTTTATAAATCCTTAGTAAGACCATACCTGGAATATTCGGCACCCGGTTTTGGTCACCATCTATAAAAAAGATGTTGGAACTCTGGAAAAAGTGCCGAGAGGAGGAACCGATTAGGGGGGGGCTGGAGTCTAAAACCGAGGAAGAATAAAGGAGGCAGGAGTTGGGTTTATCTAATCTAGGGAAGAGAAGGACTCAGGGGGACGTGGTAGCAGTTCCCCAGTATGTGAGGGGCTGCCGCAGAGGAGAGGGGGCCGGCCTATTTTCCAAAGCCCCTGAAGGCGAGACAAGGGGCAACAGATGGCAACGATTCAAGAAGAGATCCAACCTAGAATTAAGGAGGAATTCCCTGGCAGTGAAAGCCATCAATGGAACTCCTTCTTCTTCTTTTCAGAGGCCTTTAAGAAGAGACAATGATTTGTCTGCAATGGTCCAGGGTTTCCCGCTTGAGCAGAGGGCTGGACTAGAAGACCTCCAAGTTCCTTCCAACTCTGTTATTCTGTTTCCCCCCCACATATTTCACAAAGAGATAACTGTAGGAGAAGGGCTGGCAGAACCTGGGGGGCAGAACCGGAAGAATCCCCACACAGCCGCCAGCAAACTAAGTCCAGCCGCCCTTGGGTTCCCCTGACCCTTCTCTGACCCCAAAGAGCCCTCTGGGCTGAGTTGAGAAGATTCCTGCACCTGGGCCTTTTAGCAATAAAGCGGCTTCATTGGACCTTCCCGTGTAGCCCTGGTCTTTTACGCCAGTCAGCAATACAGGATCATAGCTCCTTCTTTTGCAAAAGAACCCAGGAAGGGAGCTCCGTCACGTCCTTCTTCCTCACTTGTCCCAACTCTTTGTTGTCTTCCTATTTCCAATTCTCCTCCCTCTGCCCCGCCCTGCTCATAAGTCCCCAGTTCTTCCATTCGTGGCTTCCCTGCCTAATCCCGAACCTGCCTGTCCTGTGCCGAAGTGCCCGGATAATTTACATTCTGTGGAATGGTCCCTTTTGCCTCTGAGTCCCAGCGTCCAGGAGGCCAAGTCAACCAAGAGCCGAGGTGGCGCAGTGCTTAGGGTGCAGCGCTGCAGGCCACTTCAGCTGACTGTTATCTGCAGTTCAGCGGTTCTAATCTCACCGGCTCAAGGCTGACTCAGCCTTCCATCCTTCCGAGGTGGGTGAAATGAGGACCCAGACACTGTGGGGGCGATATATGCTGACTCTGAAAGCCCTATGAAGTGGTATACAAGTCTAACTGCTATTGCTATTGCTATTGCTAACTAATTGTCCCTTCTGGACCACTGCAGGCCTCTCCTCAAACTCACCTTCTGTTCCGACATCCATCTACAACACAGAAGCCAAGCAATGCTGGGTCCCCCCCCTGCCCCTCCTCCCTCTCAGGTGGCCTAGGGTGAGAAGACTTTGCCCAAAGCTTTGAGTATTTCTTTTGTTTTGATGCTGTAGATGATGGGGTTCAGTAGCGGAGGAACCAGGAGGTAGATGTGGGCCAGGAGGGAGCGCACCAGAGGGGACGTGTGCCAGCCAAATCTATACACCATGGAGAGGCCGATCATTGGGGTGTAGTAAACCACCACTGCACAGATGTGGGAGACGCAAGTGTTGAGGGCCTTCAGGCGACCTTCTCTGGAGCTGATGCGCAGGACGGTCTTCAGGATCAGGGCATAGGACAGGACGATGAAGAGGGAATCCAGGCCAAAAGTGCAGAGCAGGACAAAGAGGCCATAGAGGCTGTTGAGGGTTGTGTCTGCGCACGGGAGACGGATCAGGTTGGGGTGCAGGCAGTAGGGGTGAGCCAGCACGTTCGCCCCACAGAAGGGTAGCCTCCTCATGAGAAGAGGCAGTGGGACAAGCAAGACGATGCTTTTCACCGCAATGCCCGAGCCTATCAGGGCGATCCGGCCGGCGGTCAGGAGGGTGGCATATTGCAGCGGGTTGTAGATGGCGATGAAGCGGTCAAGGGCCATGGCCCAGAGCACCCCCGAGTCCATGATGGAGAAGCAGTGGATGAAGAACATCTGGCTGAGGCAAGCGCCAAGGCCAATCTCCTGGAGGTCCAAGAGGAAGACGCCCAGCACGGTGGGGAGGGTGGAGAGGGAGACCCCCAGCTCGCTCACTGCCAGCATGCAGAGGAAGAGGTGCATGGGTTTGTGTAAGTTGTGGTCCTTCACAATCACAAGGAGGACAGCAGTGTTTCCCAAGATGGCCATGGCGTAGAGGAAGCAGAAAGGGAGGGAGACCCAGGGGCTGCTGGCCTCCAGTCCTCGGATGCCCCCCAGGACGAAGGTGGGAGAGGAGGAACTCCAGTTTCTGAGGGGAGCCATGAGCGTCTTTCTCCCCCCCCTCCAGCACCTGCAGGTACATGAAAATTAACAATGAGCATGGAGTCTGTGTTTCTGGCGCTTTGGTTCTGCCTGAGAGGCAAGGCAAGATGACCTGCTACGATTATCGGTGATGGACCATCGCTTGAGCATCAGATGAAGGGTCCAATCTGAGCCAGTCACCGGAACCGAAAGTTCATTCTTCCAAGCTTTCAGGCTCATGCTGGAGTCCATCATCTGGGAGCTTTGGTCTCTCCAGAATAGGTACAGTGGGCTGTTCTACGCATTATATTATATTTATACTCATTGGTAGCCTCCTATTGCAATGAATAAGGCCATGCATTCAATTTTGCAGTTGCTAAGATTGTTGGCTGAGCAGAGACAAAAACAGCAAGGGAAATGACTGAAGCTGGGAAACGGTCCCCTTGTCAGTCAACAGGAGTGGTAATGTACCACCAGCCTATCCGGTACTTAGGAGTCGACGGTGCACAAGGAAACAACAATCAACAATAGCCAGTCACCAAAGCTCTCATTAACAACTGAAAGCTACACACAACCAGGAACCAATGAACGAAACCTGTGGAACAGCCCAGAGCGCCTATTGTGGAGAGGCAGAAGCTCCCCCAGGATGGACTCCAGCATGAGCCCAAAAACTTGGAGGAAGAACTTTGGGCCCAGGGATCGGCTCAGATTGGATCCTGCGACACTCACCTGGGACACAGGGATGTGGTGGACTTCATTTTTGCACGCTGCAAACCTCCCCAAACGGCCTGTTTTTCGCAAAAACGGGCCCGTTTTTTAAAAAAAAGGCATGAATAGCTTTTGGGAGTATCAGATT